AACAATACCGGTGATAGAGGTATCGACAACACTGGCGACAGACTCATCGACAACACCGGTGACGGACATATCAATAATACCAGTGATGAATATATCGACAACACTGATGACAGACGCCTAATCAACACCGCTGACAACCGCAACGAGGACACCGACGATAATCCCGATGACAAGGAAGTCAAAACTGATCATACTGGGAACACTACACGGATCGCCAATCGAGCCGCAACGGATGCGACACCTGCGAGGAGGTGTTAAATCATATCAAGGCAGCGATGGACGCGATGCTCAAGAGGTAGGAGAACCAAGACAAGGTGAATTCCACGGTGAGTGAGAGACTTGACATCCTCACAACAATGAGCAGAGACCAAGTCCAAGGCTCGCTTAGGCAACCAAGAGGGCGACTCACCCCGACTGCTCTTTTCTCAACACCAAACGGTGCGCCCACAAATCGAGCCTTCCCACCATTGTATACAACCTCGGAGACGGGTGAGGAAAGCCAAACAAGATGGACATATCGGCCTCTGGAGCAGGACCCACAGACCACAGATAGACCACCACCAGTCGTCAACCTTGATGAAGATGTGACAACCGAGGTCAACCCAGTAAGACGTGTTGACACTGGACGCACTGAGGCACATCGAGGTAGGACGACCCGAGGCGACGAGGAGATTGAACATGACAACATCAACGACAAAGATCTCACTCTAGATTCGGCAGCTTGACGACCGACGTGACGAGGCACTGCGAGCCTAGAAAGCCGAGATAGCCGAGATGCGCACCAGGATGGAACAAGCAGCCAAGGATATGAAGGCAGTTCAGATTCAGATGCATAAAGCTACGAGCTAGGCTCCTCAGATTGACCTTGTACTCGAGGAAGCGCAGAATACCCCGTTCACTACTAAAATCACCAGGGCTCGTGTATCCAATCTAGGGAAGATAAGGCTGCCAACATATGAAGGCAAGACTGACCTGACAGAACACATTACTGCCTTCATCATTGCAATGGGTCGGGCTAACTTCAAGGAAGACGAGAAGGATGCATGCAGATGCTTTCTATTCGTTGAGCACTTGAAGGGGTCAGCTCTACTATGGTTCTCTCGGCTAGAGCAGAATTATATAGATAACTTCAAACAATTAACATAGGCATTTATAAAGCAGTACGCCATATTCATGGATCGCCAGGCCGAAGATGCAGATCTATGGACCATGAACCAAGGGCAAGGCAAAAATTTACGAAATTTTATAGATCGCTTCAAACCAATTTTGTCAAAGGTCAGAGGGCTAAGCGACTCGGCCGCCATTCAAGATCTGAAAAATCATTGTGGTATGACTCAGATTTTTGGAAGAAATTGACATTGAACACCCCTTCAACTATCCAAGACGAAATCCACGCTCAAAAGTATGCAAAGACCAAGTCTGCAAACAGACCAGCGTGGCGCAGTCACCTAGTCAAACAGGAAACAAGAAGGGAAACCAAAATTCTGGCTTCATACAACATGAAGGAGGGTTTGAAGGAGTTTACAACTATCGAATAGGTGCAGCTGAGTGTGGCCACGACCGAGGTCACGGAAGTGGCTATGGGAATACGTGGACTAGAAATTCTAGTCCATACGACAAAACAATGTACTGCAAACACCACCACGTAAATGGACATTCAACGGCAAACTGCCTAACCCTAGGCCTCAAGCTCGCAGCAAAACTAGCAGCAGAAAAAAGGTTGACAGGAGACTTAAGTATAAAAGACTTCGAGATGGAGGAGAGAACTTAGCAACTTGAGCATGAAGAGGATGAATCCGCAAGACGCGAAAGAAAGGGTGACGATGAGGTAGAACAGTCGGGCTCTCGCATAAGGATAAACGAATACTAGCACTAACATATTT